TTATATTTCTATACAAAGATATTGATTATAATAGCATCTAAAATTTTAACTACTTAGGGATAAAGCTAACAAAACATGTACAGAACCTGTACACTGAAAACTGCAAAACACTGCCAAGAGAAATTAAAGACCCATGAAAATAGAGAGTTGTAACATGTTCATGAGTTGGAAGACTCAATATATATTAAGATATGAAGTCTTCCCACACTGACCTACAGAATCAACATAATTCCAATTAAAACCCCAGTAGACCTTTTTTGTAGAAACTAACCACCTGATTCTAAAATTCACGTGGAAATGCAAAAGACTTCTAACAGCCAAAATAAAGAGAAAAACAAAGTTGCAGGACTAATAAGTGCCTGATTCAAGACTTTAAAAGTTACAGTAATCAAAATTGTGGTACTGGCATCAAGATAGACAAATGGGTCAGTGAAACAACATAGTACAAAATTTGACCCACACATATATGACCTATATACATACATACATACATATATATATATAAAACATACAAAGGCAATTTGGTACAGAAAGTATAGTTTTTCAACAAATGGTGTTTAAACCATTGGATAAACGTCCAAAAAAAAAAGAACTTTGGATCAATACCTTGTATCACATATAAAAATCAACTCAAAATGAGCCATAGTCCAAAATGTAAAACCTAAAACTAAAACTTACACAGAAAACAAATTAGAAGATATTTATAACCTTGGGTTATACAAAGATTTCATAGATACACCACCTAGAGCACAATTCATAAGAAAAACATGATAAATTTGAATTCATCAAAGTTAAAAACTGCTCTTTGAATGAGAATGAAATGACAAGTCCAATAATGGAATTGTGTCTAGACTATCTAAAGAACTCTCAAAAATAAAATAAAATAAAATAAAATAAAATAAAATAAAATAAAATAACTCTCAAAGCTCAGTAAGAAAAACCAAATAAAAGCAGGGAAAAGCTTTGAGTAGGTACAAATGGCAAATAATAAGCACATGAAAAGATGCTCCACATCATTAGCCATTATAGAAATGCAAATCAGAACCACAAGAGATACACACCTATTAGAATAGCTAAAATTAAAAAGACAGGCTATGTCAAGTGTTCCCAAAGATGTGAAGTAACTGAACTCTCATACGTTGCTGGTGGGAATTTAAAACAATACAACCACTTAGGCAGTTTCTTAGAGTTAAACATTTTTACCATATAACTGCTATCCTTCCCACTCCTAGCTATTTACTCAAGGGAAGCATATGTTTACACAAAGACTTTTATATGCATGTTCATAGCAACTTCATTTGTATTAGCTCCAAACTGGAAATAGCCCAAATATCTACCAGCAGTGAATGTATAAACCATATGTGGTAAATTCACACAATGGAATAACACTCAGCTATAAAAAGGAATGAGCCACTGATATATGCAACATGGACCTCAAAATAATTACGCTGAGTGAAAGAAGTCCAACAAGAATACTTATTAGATGAATCCTTTTACATACAACACAGGAAAATGCAAATTAAGTGACAAAGATCACTGGTTGCTGGGAAACATGTGGGATGGATGGGTGAGAGGGATTACCAAGGGGCATGACAAAATTTTGGAGGGTGAATGACAGTAGGTTCATTATCTTGATGTGGTGACAGTTTTATATATACATATATACTTATTAAATTGTCTACTTTAGATGTTTATTATATGTCAATTATATCTGTATAAAACTGTTTTTAAAAACATAACCAGCGAGGGGAGGGTATAGCTCAGTGGTAGAGTGTGTGCTTAGCATGCACAATGTCCTGGGTTCAATCCCTAGGACCTCCACTAGAAAAATAAATCAATCTAATTACCTTCCCCTCCAAAAAAAAATCCCCCCTGCAAAAGTTTAAAAAACTTACTTAAAAAAAAAAGTAACCAGCTATATTTTTCAAATTTGACTAGCAAGCAAGGCTTCACTTGTAATTATTATTCTTATATAAGCAAAATCCAAACTATAACAGTAAGAAATAGACTCTGTATGACATTATAAAATACATAATAGTATTATCTTATTTTGATCAGTTTAATTTAGTTGATAAGTATCTTCCATTTATTTACCTGTTCTACAGCATAAGAATTGTAGATATTGATCAAATTTTACATAATACTAGAATGACCAATTTACAGTGTGTGTAAACGTATGGTTTATTGTACTGAAACAAAATTGCAGCTATCAAATTTTCAAATACGTATATATTTTCTATTTTTCATAGATTTCAATAAGTATAATGTAACTATAATTAGAGAAAGATAATAGGAGAAAAAAGGTTTACTCTAATTTCCAAATACAATGAAGAAACAAAACTATCATTGTCTGCAGATGATATAATTATCCACATAAAAAGTAGGGGAATCTACAAATTTTAAAATTACCAAGAGATTTAAGATTGCCTTGTATAAAATCAATAATAAAATTCAGCAGAAGTCCTGTACACCAACAATAAAAGTTACAATTTAGAATATAACGTAAGTGCTGTTATATACAATAGTACCAAAGGCTACAAGACACAAATGTAAATTTAATCTTTACACAGAAAATTACAACCTTATTGGATATAAAAGACATACATGCATAGATATATTCTTCATAAATACAAAGCCTCAGTATTATAAATATGACAACTCCCAAATTGATCTATAAATTCAATGCAATTTTCAGCTGAAACCCCACATGTTTTTAGGAACTTGACTAGCAGATCCTAAAATGTATACACAAGGGTATAGGGCTCAAGAAGACAAGATAACTGTGAATAACAGTAATGATGGTGCTCCAGCCATTATCCTCTCAGATGGTAATTCTGATTGTAAAGGTACATATAATTAAAGAGTGACAAGGCTAGATATGGTATGGTATAGAACATAAGAAATAGCCACAAATAGTATGGAAACAATATATGACAGAGGGGACTAAAAGATGAACTTTTAAATAAAGGGTACTATGAAAATTAGGAACATTTCAATGAGTATTGAATATTATAAAAATTAAGATCCCTACCTCAAACTATATGTATAAATATACTGCCAGTGGCTTCAAGATCTAGAAATGAAAAACAAAACATATTCAGAAGAAAATAGGGGTGATTATCTTTATGATGTTGAGAAGGACTTCTGAAGACACAAAAGGCACAGAGAGTTAAATCATAGTATTAAGATAAACTTTTGTATGACAAAATCACAAAGTGAAAATACAAGCCATGGTCAGGAAGAAGACATCTGCAATCTATGTGGATGTCAAAGGATTGGTATCCAGAATAAAGAGCACCTCCAATCAATAGGAAAAAGATAAACAGCAGAAAAACCGGCAAAGGATATGAATGGGCAACCTAAGTGGCCAATAAACACAGAAAAAGATCACCAACCTCAACAGCAATCTAAGAAATAACAAAGTCAAAAACTTCAAAGACACTACCTCAAACCCATTAGATTGGCAATAGTCCAGTAACATCAAGTATTGGCTAGAATACAGGGCAACAGGGACTCTTACATATAGTGGGTGGGAGACTAAACTGATAAAAGCACCTTAGTGAAGAATTCTGTTAAGACCTAAGTTACAACTGAAAATGTGAATCTCTCACATTCCAACAGTTCTACTTCTAGTGATATGTCCTAGAGAAACTTTCACATGTTTCACAAAAATACTTGTTTCAGTGCTAACTGTAATAGTGAAAAGTGAGAAAAAATCTACTTCAGTAAGGAAAAGGTTGTATTTGTAATGTTTTATTTCCTTAAAAAGACAAAACAAAATCTGACCCAAATATAACAAAATGTTAATATCTGTTCTTTAGTGGTGGAAACTTGGTTATATGTTATCTCTTATACATATCTATCTTAAATACTACATAATTAAAATTTTAAAATTAAGTGTGAAAAAAGTACTTAACAAGCAATATTGCCCTTAACATTCACAGCAGGTTAAAAATTAAGTATCTTTATCCAAGTGACTCCAATTCACAAAAACATCAGTAATAATATCACTTATGTAAAATTTTTTCCAACCTATCACCTAACAAGTCAAAGCTTTCGTGCTTCTGTCCTGGAAATTATCCTATAAATCGCTTACTACTGAAATGTTGACTCAAAATCAGAGAGCGAAAAGGCAACAGAATGCACTCCTTCCTAGATCTACTGTAATCTCAAATTAACTTTTAATGTCAATAACTTTACATACATTTAACACCAACAGAAAAATAAATACCAAAACATCCAGGACTCTGAGGAATATAAAGGGAGACCCATATATCCTGAAGCTTATCCTGCCTCTGCCCAAGACCACCACCCTTCCCCCTCCAGCCCCATGGACTCAGGTTAAGAATCTCTGTTAGACGCTATCAGAAGATAGTACTCATACGCAACATTTATAAAGTACCTACTATACGTTAAACAGTGTTCTAAGGACTTCACATTTTTTACCTCACTTCATCGTCATAAACTCTTTGAGGTCAGCATTCTTATTCTCATTTTTCAGATAAGCAAACTGAGGCATACAGAGGGTAAGCAATTTGCCTTAAGTTAACTAGCTAGTAAGTGGTGAAACTAAAATCAAATTCAGGCAGTTGGCTCCAGAGCATGCACTTTTTTTTCCCCCCTAAACAGAGATACTGGGGATTGAACCTAGGACCTCACACATGCTAAGCACATGCTTTACCACTGAGCTATACCCACCTCCCTGAACATACACTCTTAATAAAGAATCTTTGCTGCTAATTGGGCAGTCAATTAAAAAAGATTTAAATAAAACTTAACCTGAAAGTTACAAATAATCATTTTAAAAAATGAGATTGAAAGAAAAAAGGATAGAACCAGAGTCTCGAAAGCATTTTTTCTCTTTCATTCCTTACCAAACATAAAAAAACAAAATACAAAAAAATTTGTGATATTCTATTTTCTGCTTTGGGAATCAATTCTACTTTCATTGAGCATGCCATTAAGATGAAGTTTTCTTTGTAATATAACAATCAGTGCACTCTTTCTTTTAATTTCTTTATTAAGGTGGTTGCATAAAAGATATACATTCTCATATTGACAAATCTTGTCATGAACAAAAGCAACAAAAATAAGGCAACAGTAAGATGTGCTTCACATATAAACAATCATGTGGTAATAGGAAATCAGCCCTGCACAACAAAAAGATTAGGAAGCAAAATGTGAATAAGCCCTACATTCAGAATATACCCTATTGTGTGTGCAAAGACAGTGCATGCATAATATAGCTCACTTAGGTTCCTTGTTTATGACGCATAATTCCTTATTTATCCATTTGTGAAATAAGAATAAACATTAAGAAACATGAAATAATCGCACTCATTTTCACAATATCAATGCCAAACTCAAAATAGCAACTTCATTGAATCTAAATGTTAAATGTTTCCAAAGTAAAAGGCAATCTTAATTTTTTTAACCCTATGAATGGAGACTCCAAAAAAAAAAGGTAGATTATTTTACTCTACTCGCCTGGAGCTAGATCTCAGCCTGTACTGAAGTAGTGTGAGCAACAAAGGAGAGCAAACAAATCTCACCAAGAGTAATGCCCGTACATATCAAAATATCTAGTTGAACCATGTTCTACTTATATAGCAAATCTATTAAATAACCAGCATAATGGAAGCTTACACCTAATGCAAGAGAATTACTAAATTAACTATACATCTATTAGAAATTTCTAAACTCCACTCCCAAAACAATTTTAGTACACCTATCAAGTACTGTAGCTCATTCAGAAAAACAAATAAAACATACATGCAGTCTTTGTAATTAAAAATTTTTTGTAACATATAAACAATGTTCAGATATAAACTGTGAACTAAATGTTTTTTCTAAATATGATTTATGTAATCAAGGCTTTCCTAAACAAAAAGAGGTCTTAGGAATATGATCTGTACAAACTTACAGTAGTGTATATTCCAATAGAGATTTTCCTCCTATTATGATATGACAATATAACTCTTTTCTGAGTGAAGATATATGTTAAGGCTTAAGGTGTAAACACTTTGGAAGGCAAACAACTTATTGAAGAAATCACTATTCATTAAGAAGTGTGTGTATCATCTCATAATAGGCCCTGAATTTTCAAATTCACATGTAAGAATACATTTACATCTTAAATTTTTAGGAAAGACACAGGCTTTATGTAAAAAAGCAGCAAAATTTAAAACCCATCAATTTATTGAAAAAAGCCATTACTTTTATTAGAAATGAAAAATGCTTCTCAAGAGGTTGGCAACAGGTCATAGTATAGATATCTATTTTATACAGTGTACTTCTCCCTTCAATTACATTACAGATGGAGGAGAAACAACTCCTTGGCTATGGGAAGTAGAAGTATTTGATGGACTGTGTAAGCTGGTCTCCTTGTATACAAACCATGCATTTCCTCCCCAAAGTATCATGTTCAGAAAGCCAAAGATCTAAGAAAGAGAAAAATAAACAAGAAAATCTAGTATCTTTTTAAAATTTCATACCTATCTTAGTTTTCCTATAAGTAGTTAATATTTCCAGGCAATATACCCATTGTTTCATATAAAGTTTAAACTGTATATAAAATGGAATAAAAAAGGGAAGACTTCACATTTCAATGCCAGATTTGGATATATAATGACTTATTCCCAATGGAAACTAAATCTGTACCATATAAAATCATGACTAATAAATCTTATTTTTGCACGCTCATTACTACCAAAAAAATGGCATTAAATTTGAGGAAAGTAACTAAAATCTTCCTTTTATTACTTTGTACTTAGACTTCAGTGCTTCCAGGTGAAGAGGAACAGCAGGAGTCCACGATTCCTTCTTTGGGGAGGGCTTTCACTTTTCTCCCACTCGAATGGTTATAAATGTCCTCTGTGTATCTCCTCCCGTTTCCCCACTTTATCCCCCAACTACCATCTCCCTTCCTCCCACAGCTGCAACCAGAGGAGAAAAGGAGCCACAGAAGAACTTTACCTCACATCCTGCATTAGTCAACCTAAAAAAAATTAGTCTTCCTAGGTGTAAATCTGACAAGATGAAAAGCCTCAGAGATGAATAAACTGAAGCTACCGTATTTTCACAGTTTTTTTTAAATAAATATAAGAATAACAGCGACTTAGGAGGTAAGAATGAGATTAAAAAGCTTGAGAGTACTATCACATTACTGATGGCCAACAGCTTTCTTTTTGTACATTTGGCCATAAAAACAACATTTCTGAAACTGTCCATCTCAGATCACTGTCAATATATATGCATAAAAACACTTAAATTACAAAGTTATAAAACAGAAGTTTGGCCAAATTGCTTTATAGGGAAAGACTAAATTTATCCATTGGAAAAACATTTTCTTTTAAAGACATGAGACCTCCTGAAACATAATACCCTCAGTATATTAATAATACATTCAATAATACATATATTAGTATATAATAGTACTTTAGAAAAAAATCAGACAAAATACTACTTAAATTTATATAGACAAAATTTTTAAGATTATTTAAGAAACTATAAAAGTATTACTTCCACAGAGCCAGAGCGAATCAGATTAGAGGAGGGGCTCTAATGTCAGATGTGGTTCAAACCCTGGCTTTGCCAATTCACTAGCTGTGTCATCTTGGGTGATTTAACATATGAGCTATACTTTTTCCCAGTTGTAAAATGAAGATAGTAATACCACTTCCCACATTCCTCTTAGGATTGTTGGATAACTTAAATAAGTTATGAGTGTAATGACCTTAGCACAAGTCTTAATAAATATTAGTGACTATCGGTAGTGCCTTTCAGGTCAGTCTTGCCTAGTCAATGTTAATGAAAAGAAAGACTCAACCATGATCTTGCTCAAACCTATCCACAAGTAAAAATTTTCGTCACAAAATTTTCTTTGCTGTTATAAAGGTAAAGACTATAATATAACTGGGATTCTGATAAGCTTGATAAAAATAAAACCAATATACTCATCCAGAGATTTATTAAAAACCATTGTTTTCTTAAACTACCAGTAAGGATTTTCTAGTAAGTAAAATAAAGTATTTTATAAACACTGCATATGGGGCGGGGAAGGTGTAGCTCAGTGGTAGAGTGCATGCTTGGCATGCACTAAGTCCTGGGTTCAATCCCCAGGACCTTCATTTAAATACATAAAAACCTAATTACCTCCCCTTCCCCATCCCCCAAAACCAAAAAACACAGCATACATACCACAGATACATTTAGGGATCCCATACTAGTCACAGAGCCAAAATGACACGTCACTCCATTATTACAAGGCCCAAGTTCCTGGACAATATTGTGACCGGTAGCTATTTTAATATCTGTAAGAGCTTTAGCCCAGGCCGAAGTGCTCACCAACCACAAAAAAGTGGCAATAAGAGTAACAACAAAGTCCTAAAGCAAAAATAAGTATGAGTTAATAATGAACAGTTAAAGATACTATATTTTAAATCCATGTTGAAGGAACCGAGGTCACACTTGAAACACATGGCACAAAGAAATGGACTTCATGACATTCTATAAAAAACAGCCACAGTCAACATCGTAAACACTGTTGTTTACTATTACTAGCCCAGTGCTGAACTGTAGTAGTAAACATGACTGTCATCGCCTTAGGAATCTAAGATTTTCACATGAGAAATCCAAGTTTTACACAGCCCACACCACAATGTTACCTGGGCCACCCCCTCCCAGGATCATATATTAGACTGTTACCACCAATAACTGTATCCTTCCGTAATCTGTTTTAATCACACCCTCCCCAATGGCACCTCTTTTTCTAGCTCACTCCTTTTGGTACCCCAAACTCAAAAATCCCTTTGACCCCACTGAGACCTACAATCTGATCTTCATTTCCTTCTATAGTCTAAGGTCCTTCATTATAATCCCTTGCATATACTCCCAGCCCCCTTACCCTTCTCCTACTTTCCCATACTGCTCTGGCAAAACTCTAACTTTAGTTAAATCTAATTCTCTGTGATATGAATAATGAAATAGTGAAAAGCACACATCAAGGATGACTTGTCTCTTTTTAAACTTATGACCACAAAATTTTAAGAATGTTCATTATATTAAGAAAAGAATAAAACAAAAAACTTTTTCAAGACACCCTGTTACGACCAGTTTTCTACTGAAGTCTTTGTTACTTACTACATTTCCTAGAAGAGAACTGAAGTTTTTAATATTTTGGATCGTTTCTTATTGAATATTAGATGAAGAAAGAAAAAAATTATTCACCTTAAATCTATTCTTCTGGGGAACTGTCTATTCTGCTGGTAGAATTTTGTCAACTAGTATTGGCTACAAAGATCTAAATAACACTTTTTTAAAGTATGCGTTTGTATAATATAAAGTATAAGCCCCACTTTGTTTGGTCTTCCTTTAATTAACAACCAAAGTGGAAATATGTAAAATTTTTATCTCTTACTGTTATGTATTCTATGTTCAAGACTGAGTTCTTACATATCTGCAGCAAAAAAATCTCTCCAAGCTCAGAAATGGGTTTTGGAGGTTATCACAGAAGTGTTTTGTTTTTAAAATAAATCCGCTTAGTTTTTAATTACGTTTGCCAATAAGCTTTTAATCATTTACATCAACTAAACACCAGCAACCACTTATGAGATACAAGAACTGTGCTTATATATATCTTGTCCACCTGGTCAAGATGGCATCGTATAAATGACTTGTGTTAGAGAACCAAAACAATGACTAATTTTACAAATATGGTAATACAGTGTATTTACACTTTGCATTTGACTTCTCCACTGCTACTGGTCCTTTAAAAGAAAAAAAAGGAGATCAAAGAGAAAAGAACAGAGACATTACAGTTTAATTTTTTTTGCCCTGTAGGAATACTCCCTTTTTTGCTGCTGAACTCTGCTGTACTTTATGCTACATTTTCTAAACACTTGTTAGAAATATAGTGCCTTTTGGAGAACTGATAATTAGTATGAAATTATCACAAGCTAAACAAGTTCTCTCTGGGTAAAGTTCATAGCTTTGACCTGCAGATTTCAAATCCTCTTAATTTTTAGGTTTTTTCTTTCTAAATTTCTAATTAAAAAACACACTTTTTTCCCTGATTATGCTCTTTAAGTCCATTTTGTTGATAGCTTTAAGGCATGACATTCTTTTATTTCAAAAGAAGGCACTCTTCTGAAAATGATGCATGAAGTAATCTTAGGGTGAGGGGAGATGGGAGAAATGTGAACTTCTGAAGACTCTCTGACTCAGGACTCTAGTTCTATGCGGACGGTACCACGTGGAGTTCTGCAATGCACAAACTGCAGCTGCCTATGGCAGCTCTAGTCCTACCAATAAGTTAGGATGTGATTCTTAACAGATCTTTAGGATTTTGGGTGCCCTATCTTTGTTCGGTTTTGTTTTATGATAGTGCTGATTTTCCACATGGCCTAGAATCACCTACTACTTAATACAAAAAAGTGATACATTTACTTAAAAAGGGAACTAAAATTGATTTTAAAATGTCACAATTGAAATGCTCCTAGAATTACCTAAAAGAATTGTTAACACTGCTAAAAGAGCATATCCCCATTAACAAATAGCATTAAAAAATTAATGTCATATTTGGCTATAGCTGATATTTAGGTATCCCCAAAACTTTTTTATATTTATATGATTAAATTAAAAATAGAATTCAAAATTCAATTTAAAGGCTGGACTTTGGCAGGCAAAAAGCATCCATTATATATTGTACCAACAACAAAAAAAACACTTAAGGAACTCATTCTAGATTATTTCTTTATATGACTACTAATTGATCACTTTGAGGTGGAAAATTACTTTTGATTTTCTGAATGATACAACTAAATCAGTTTTATAGTTTTATTAGACAGAAAAACCCTCTACAAAAATAGATTTGAATGCTGCTTTAAAAAGTCTCATATTTTTCTCAAGCTTACTTTAAAAATATGAGAATTAAAAGGCTCATTGCTAGATTTAACCTAAAAATTTGTTGGGAATGACAAAATTGCAAGAAATGTCTTCATTTAGAATATAAACTATAAAGAATTTTAATAAAATATAAATATATTATCTATGTAATCACCACAGTTCCTTTTTAAAGAAGACTTGAAAAGTCTACAGAAGTTATAGATTCCTAATACATAATTTCTACTGATTAATCACTGCAAATTAAAATAGTCAATGTCTATCTTTCTGAAAGGCATGTAACAACCAAGACATATTTTATGAAAATGTCAGGTTTGAGAATTTCTTAATACATGAAATGAAATATATAAGAATGATAAAAGATTGTTTTATTACTTACTTACCATATGCATTCTTACAATCCAGGCAGCAAAAATTAAAGATAAATAAGGAAATAAATAAAACCTGTTATCTTATTTAATAATTTGGCCTTCCCTTTAAAGCAACTTCACAAATATAGTAAGCAGACACCAGTGGTCACTGTTTTCTCAAGATATAAATGACCAGTATCAGGAAAACACCTCTATTGTCCCTTCAAATCAGCAACACTAATACTGGCTTTGTAGTTATTCTTTTGTTGTAAAGGTCCAATTTAAAATCACAGTTTATCTTTCAATTTGCCACTTATAATCCAGGGCAGAGTTTACTAACTAAATCTCAGAGATTATTTTCATTTCTAGCTCAGTAGACTCTGAAGCCAAGAAAGGACTTCAATTCAAATCCTTTGTTGCCATCTCAAAGATTCAAAATTAGCTCAAGAATATCACCAATGATGAATTCTATAATTTTTAAAGAATTACCTGAGTCAGATTTTAAACTAAAGCATTTAAGAATATAGACCAGGAGTCAGCAAATTTTTCCTGAAAGGGCCTGAAACATTATATTTGATCTTTGTCACAACTACTTAGCTCTGTCACTACAGCATGAAAGCAACCATAAACAGTATGTAAATAATCAGGTATGGCTCTGTTCCAAAAAAAAACCTTTATTTAAACAAAACAGAACAATACCATGAGCCAGATTTGGCCTGTTGACCCTAGTTTGCTGATTCCTGATTAAGACGACCTTGCAAAGGCATAAAGGGGGTCTTCTCTGAGAAAAGAGAAAAAAGGTAAGAAATAAGAACATAGATACGAGATGACTAACATGGCCAGCAATTCTCAAATTAAAGGCATTAATTTCTACTTAATTTCTCTGCTACTTGCAATCTAATATGCTCTATCATATGTCTGAGTTCTTTCTAGGTTAAAACAGTTAGAAACAAACAAACCTCTGTAACTCTAGGGAGTACAGACAAAGTGCTGCAAACAGGATAAAAGAACTGGGCTAAATAGGACAAGGACAAGCTCAACTTCATGGAATACACAGGTCAAAATATGCTGAAACTGGTTTATGCCAAAAATCTTTTTCTGGTGTAAGAAAATCCATATTTAAACGCAAATACAATGTATAGTTATCTTACATGAATTATTTTTGTAGAAAACAATGTGATTACTTACAGCCATGGGAAGTTTTCGACTATCACGATACAGATTCATGTAACCAATATAGAGCAGAAGAGCAGCAATGCAGTACAGGAAGACAAAGACGGCAAAAGTAACGTAGAATTGTGCAGAAGAAGAGTAATCTCCGATAAGGACATGCCTTTTCCAGTCTACATTACACACATTTACACCTTGAGGTGTCTGAAATGATGCTTCATTCAACCTATTTAAAAAAAAGACTTAAATAAATGTATGAATTACTTGGATTCTCCCAACAGAGACAGAAATACATAGGTAAAATGACATTTCAAAAAAATAGTCCCCAGATACACTAAAAACATTTTCCTTTTGGGAAAAAAAGGAAAATTCACTTATTTGTCAATTAAAATTTTCATAAGAAAGATACATAAATTAGAAATTATACCTGGTAATTGGTTTATGACAGATTGAATACAGACAGAATTATATACTTTCACACACACATACTATCTTCCTGTAATAAAAACTTAGTAGATTAAGAGTGCTGTTACAAAATGGTTTACAATTTGAGACATGATATTCCATTCTAGGAGCCAGAGTCTATGTGAGTAACACCAGGAGAGTCAATTAAAATGATTCACATTTTAACTCTGGATTAATTAACTGCTAACCATACAATGTTTTTAATTTTCCCTATCCATAAATCACAAAGGCACTTACCACTAAAAATGCTGTAACAGTTCCTTATACAGGAACTTCGTAAGAGAAGGATCAGGAGATGGAGAGACAATGGTTGATTACAAAGCACTTACTATGTGACATACCTTTAATGTAAGATTTTATTTAATCATCAAAACAACCTTAAAAGGTTTAAATTTACTGGACAGAAAAATTGAGTGCTAGAGAGGTCAGGTAAGCAGTTGTAAGCAGAAGAAGATTCACCCCTTGGCTTCCATACAGGACATATTCAATAAACTTTTCAATGAATACTTAAGTCAAACAGAAGAACTCACAAAGAAAATATTCATTTTAGTTTAAGAGTCAGAAAATAAAGTTTTATGCTAGCGAAAGAAACATAGGAACTCTTCACTTTATATAAATACATGTCTTAAAGCTTATAATGCACATTATTTAGTAATTGCAAACATGTGAAATTTGGATTTTTCGTAAGTTGTATTTGCTCCTGCAACATGACTTCTCAAACTAAGGTAATAGAGCAGTCTTTGTCTTGTTTTGAAATATCCAATCCACTGTGAGATGACAAAATAGAAGGGTCAAGGCAATGCCGTATAAAAGTTCCTAAATGCTTACTGTTATTTTCTGTATTTATTTCATCACAGACCAGGAAAATAGTTTGCGGACAGGCACTAGTCCACGTACCACACTTTCAGTAGCAAAGATCACTAACTACAAATGAGCATGCAATTAAAAACTTTTTCCCCACCAAGATCAGTAAGTTGTTGAAAGTTAAAAGAGTTGTTAAACCATAAGAACAAACAAATAACTCACCTGAATGGATAACCAAAAGTAGCTGTAACTGTTTTATTGTCAGTACTTGAAGGACAAGTCACCTGAATTTCTGTTTTGCCCTTAAAACCTCCGCAGGTGGCAAAAGAAAAGATAGAAGCAATCTTAAAAAAAAAAAAAAAGAGAGAGAGAAAAAAAAGGAAGCATTACTGTACCCAAAACGTAGGTCACTAAAATCTTATATATACTGATTATTAAAAATTGGCTCACTAACATTCTGAGAATTCTTAATTACAAGTTAAGATGGTGAAAAACATTTAAAAACTTATTTGCAACTCTTAACAAATGTGATTTTATTCTCCCTTGAGTATAACATAGAAATTAGTATCCCAGCCCATGTAACAATTCATTTGCTCATACTCCAGTAACTAAATACTAGTGTGAAATTCAGAGGAAGTCTTATTTACTAGTATCAAAATGAAAACAGGGTGAATTGGAGGTATTTTATTTGGAACCAGAGGGTAAATAAAGCCAAGAGATTGCAAGCAAAGAGTTATTATTTCATGAGTTTATAAGGTCTCATGTGTGAGTATTTCCAGATCTCAAAAAAGTAGTTGGAAATTTGTTTTTCTAATCATACATATGCTTAAAAAACATAATGACGCTCTCTCAAATGCTACTCATACAGGAAAAAAAACTGAAAGCATCCTAAATATTGACAGGGAATCAAATAAACTGTAATTCATTCACACAAGAGATCATTATACAGTTGTTAAAATGTTGGGGGAAATCTAATGATAGAGAAAAAGGTTCTTTACATATAGTTTAAACAATGTATTGTTCATGAGTCTACATCTACGCATACACACACAACAAAAACCAGAAAGGTTATGCATCAAAATTCTAACAGTGGTAACGTCACCTCTGAAGAGATGATAAAAGGTAATTCCTTTTTCTATGTTTATCTTCTAAATTTCTACAAAACAAACAAACAAAAAACAGATACAGTGTAGTGACCAAGAGCTCAATCCTTCAGCAAATGCTGATGGCTCTATTTAAAAAATACATCTGGAATGTGATCACTTTTTATCACCACCATCACATCCAGATCTAAACTACCATTTGCTCTTGCCTGAATTACATGCTAACAGCCTTCTAAACTGATCCTCCTGCTTCTGTCCCTACTCCTGCTTCAGTCTACTATCCACACATCAGTCAGGGTCATCTTTTAAAAATATAAGGCAGAAAACTTTATTCTCTGCTCAAAACTGTCTAATGGCTTCTGAGTTTTCTCCAAATAAAAATCAATGACCTTATTAGAGGCTAGGCCTTTCCCTAACTACACTAAGTTAAATTAACAGTGCCCCACCCCCTACACTACCTATTCTCTTTATTTATACTACTCTATTTCTCCTCCATTGTAAGTATCAGTGCCTGACAGTACTTAATTATTTGTCCACTGTAAACTCAATGTAAACTCAAAGGGCTCAGGGTCTTTGTTTTGCTCAAGGTCACATACGTCTAGCAAGTAGGTAAAATCCAGTGTGGGTCTAAAAATCATAGCCTCTACTGTTGAATTCTGATATAATGCATCCCATGGATTACTGCAGGGCTTTGAATCGGGCCATAATCAGGATCACAGCTACCCAGGGATTTTTTTTTTCCATGAAGAAGAGATATACGAAAAGTAATCTGGTTATAGATACGAAGAGTCTGATACAATGTCCAACACATAGTTTGGAATCTTCAATTAAGAGTTCATAAAGAAAGAGGAATGGTTACTCTCCCAGCATAAATGTGCATGAATGCAGAGTGAAAGCAGAAGGCTAGGAAAGGAGTCTTGGACATACACTCACATTTAGGATTAGAAAAATGAAACAGGATATACAAATTGAACCAATGAAACACATTAAAGAGGCCAGAAAGAGACTTGTGGGTAAAGACAAATTATACCTAACAGAGCTGGCCACTGTAGGTCACTAAGGAAAGGAGAGTGGTGGTTTTTAAAGATGTCCACAAACTCTTTGATACTCCTCCTCTTATGGGTTAAGATTAATTTTTCTCCCCTTAAGTGTGGACTGGACATAGTGACTTGATCCTAGTGAAGAGAATATATATGGAAGGAATGGGATGTCCTTTCTGGGATTAGGTAATAAAGAGACTACAACTTCTTTCTTCCTTTCTCACTCTCTTGAATCACCAGCTCTGAGGGAAGCCATCTGCCATCTTCAGAGGATACTAAGGCAACTTACAGGCTCATGTGGTGAGGAAACAAGGACTAGCAGCAACCCTGTGAGGGACCTTGAAAGTATATCACCTGAGGCTTGCCAACAGCCATGTGAGTGAACTGGAGAGGGGCTTGAGATGACTGCAACCCAAGCCAATAGCTTGAATGCAACCTCAAAGGAGACGCTGAGCTGAACTACTCAGCTAAGCCACTCCCAGATTCCTGACCCACAGAAACTGAGATAATAAAATGTCTGTAGCTTTAAGTGCTAAGCTTAGGGTAACTTGTTATATTGAAATCGATAACTAATACAAGGAAGGATTGTTCAATAAACAGTCCAGATGGACTAAAGACTTAAATGTGAAAAGTGAGTCTTTAAAAAACTTTAAAGACAATATAAAAGATGATTTGTGATCATAGAGAAGGGAAGAATTTCTTATAAGTAAAAAACAGAAACAAAAACAAAAACCCAGCTTAACCATAAAAGATTACTAAATTCAACTATAGGAAAAGGTTTTTTTTAATCAAAAATCAACTTTTGAATGTAAAAGAAGCTATAAACTAGGAGAAAGTATTTGCAATAATGTCACAAAGGACTACTATCTACTAGTATATAGACCTAAGAGAGACTCTTGCTCATTTATTTACACTATAAGACATGCACAAGAAAGTTCACAGAGACATTGTTTATGATACCAAAATATGTGGAGGGGAGAAGCAACAGGAAAATGGATAAAATACAGCAGTATACAGTACTTACAATGGGAAGTTAAATAGCAATAAAGATGTACAAACTATAGCTACCCATGTCAACATGGATGAATTGTAGAAACCAATGCTGAGTGAAAATAAAGTTGTGTAAGACTGCACAGGGTATGATGCCATTCTTTTAAAAGCTCTGTTTACTTGTCTACATCACTCCTGCCACTACCTTTGTTCAGGTCCTCACCATTTTTCCCTGGGACTAACCCAACAGATTCTTCCTTTTCACTTCTGAACTCATTCTCAAGACCATTTTTCTTTTATACTGTGAGCTCTGGAGCTGCAGTGTCCAGTAAGGTGCCACAAGCCACACACGGCACTTTAAAAATGGCTAGTCTCAACTGAGATGGCTGTAAGTGTAAAATATACAGTGGATTATGAAGATTTAGTATGAAAAAAATGCAAAATAGCTCATCAATAATATGTTACTGTTGGCTTGCATTTGTAGTTTGCACTGTGTTTCTATTAGAGCAATTTAGGTCATATCACACTGATCTGAAATAAAAATCTGGTCATGTTACTCCTCTGTTTAAAGGGCTATCATCAATGGCTTTCCAGATCTAAATTTAAGAAAACAAATTTTTTTCTAAGCCCAAACTTCTTAACTTAGCACAAGTGGCAGGGCTGAGGTAGCCTCAACTTTATCTTTCTAGATTTATGTACCCTATACTCCCTGCCAGGTCTTGTATGATTGTTACATGTGCTATTTACTGTTCCTGAAAACATACCATGTATTTATGTCTTAGATGTATATTTTTATTCTGCCAGGATTTTCCCCTTCTGCCCCCAACCCAGTTCTCTAACAAGCTCATCCTTTAAGGCCCTGCCCAATTCCTTGCAGTAGAACTATTGTGTCCTGGGCTGCCATAGACTTGAGTTCATTACCTCTATTATAGGTATTTTTCTTATGTATCTTGCCTTACTAAAAAAAATCCAAGAAAACAAAAACAATAAAAACCAGTTTCCCACTTCATACAAAAACTAGTAAATAAAGAGCATACTGTACTACAGCTTACCGCTTTTAAGACTACTGCCTTTGCCTCTCCCTTGGCAGACTGCTGTATCTTTGCATTTGCTCTTATTTAGGATTTTCAGTGCCTACCCAGCAAAAGGCCTGACACACACCAAATGCTCACTAAATAACTGCTTAATTAAAGGAAAAAATTAATTTCCAATCATCTAAAAATAAAACCATATTTTGAGCCTTATGTAACCATCATTTCAAGCTTGTCTTTTTGTTATGAGGATAAATAAATATCACGTTTGCCATTCTGGTCTTTATCTTATAGGGAAAAAGGGACAAGGTATAGACTTTTTACTTAATGAAGTACAGTCTGAGGTTAAACTATCCAACCATCTCACCTCTCACTATATTCTACTGCTATTTCGATTTAGATTAGAAGTTATATACCGGCAGCCCCTGGTGAAACTCAGCCCACAGATATATTTGTGTTCTTCCCAGTATTCATGAAAAATGTGCATTTGTTGTCAAAATTTTGATATCAGTATGCTGCACAAAAAATTTGGATTTCCTGCTTTTCCTGCGTGCATGTGGGGAAACTAAAGATATGGCAACATCAGACTCATATTCCCATAAAGCAACAATCACATGGAATTAAGTGACAGATGCCACTTTTACGGTATGTGTTTTCCAGACTACTGCTGCTCTATTGTCTCAACAACCCTCAGGATGCGTGTTCGTTACCAGTAATCAATGAATTTATGCTACCATTTTTCTCCCCAACAGCTTGTTTCACTCATTTAATTTATGAGGGGTTCTTATGAGCACTTCAGTTTGTACTCCTAGTCTAAAATGAGGCGTACTGGTATGCCGATTTATATTTCCTTTCCACTTGTGAAATGCACCCCCCCACCTCTAACCCATAAAGAATGACTCAAACTGCTGACATGAACTTCCATCCGTACAGTAACTATTGAGAATCCAGGGACAGGATGACAACAAACTTCTCTTCAGGTCAAAAGGGTTCCATTTTCAATATGGGAGCCTCAAGTTCCATTTACCTCTCTGCCCAGCGGGCCCATAATAGAGACACAAAAGATCTGTCACTAAGTTAGAGATTTATAATTCTGAACTTAGTCTTATAGCCTGGTTCTCTAAAACATTACTTTCTAAAATAGACTTAAGTACTCAATTAACTGGTGTACAAAAAGAAAACACATCATATCTACTTTTAGACTTAAAAACTTTAT